ACTTCATTGATGTATCATGGCTTGGTTGAGTTGATACATGCTGCATAATCTTGATGGATCGTCGTTGGGCCTCAATGATGGATGAAAAACACAGCAAGTATTTCGAATATGCTCAACAAGAACTCCTAACTGTATCTCACTTGTGGCATAGTGAAGTGAGGTGAGTCTTTGGAACGATTAGAAGATTTCGCAACTAAGGTCATATTGTGTACCTCCAAGATATTGCGATATCCCTAAAGGTAAAGACATAACCATTTGGGGATTTTGCCTTATGTAGGTTTGATAAGTAACCTATGTCAACATAACAATAAGGCAAGCATCATTCTGAGGATCAGGGGGGTTGGATCCGCTCGAGATGCATTAGGATTTGCCCATATAGTACCTTCAGGGTACGTCCTTAATACCAATTCAGTGGTTGTGTGTAGGCGCGGTGCTACATCTTTACTAAGAACAACAGCGAAAGAGATGTCCTGTCTAAAGACAATGAGCTAAGTACAATGAAACGCCAAGTTGAACTTTAGATATGGAATTTCGGATTCCATAACCTCTTCAAGGTCTTATTTGCATATAATGTATGGACAATCATAGGTCTACTCAAAGGTAACACATTCGGGGTGTAGTTTAACTGGTAGATCAAGGTACCGTTAGAACAACGCTTAGACTTTAGGTCAAAGCATAAGCGAGTTTTCCTAAGATCATTCATCTCAAATTCCATCTTCAGGTGTGAGGTAGTTTTCTCAAGCTCTTATGGAGTCTTAGTGGGATTCGTATCAATGACATAAATTGTAACTCTAGCAATTCGAAATAAGACTTCATAGTTTAACACGCAAAGGCATAATTCATCCCTGACTGATCAAATAATCACTTAAACATGTATACCACATCCGTCGGATTGTAAGTGAACGCCTCAAACAAGTTAAGAGGGTGTTCCGTGGTTTAGAACTATTTGAACTAGTCCATGTAATTATTTAGGAACTTACATGTAAATCTTCGTATCTATATCCCCATGGAGAAACACTAACCACATTTCATAATGCTGCTATCAATCACATGACGTTTTGAGAGAAACCTTGCGCCGTAAGGTGTGCATCATATTGCATTATTTCATTCATCTCATAACGCATCCTTTCCCACTTGTAACATAACAGGGTTACCTTGGGCAGTGTAAGAACGATAGATCCAAGACACACTTTTGGTAAGGAATTTGACCTGGATTGTAATTTTAGTTGCCCAATCAGTTCTATGTTGTCACTTAATCAAAGAAACACGGTTTGATATCATCACTTTTCATTTATGTTGGTAGCTACCATATAAGTGAAAATTTCATCGATGGTAATCTCATTTCAATTCCATTGTCTCATCCAAACTAGCATACTGGACCAAGAACTTCAAGTCTCAAAAGTAATCCGGATTAATCTTATTAGATGGAAATGATTTGAGACAGCGATTAAGTATGAATTCATTGTTGTGCTGTGTCTTCCTCTTCTAGGGAAGTAAATCCTACGAATCGAGTAATCTGTCCTGCTCCAGGCTAAGATAGATTGATTGGTTATCCGCTGGTGTACCAGACCATCTAACAGGGGCTTCCAAACTGTCCAACATGGGTGGCACACCCTTTAGGGATGTTGACTTGACGTCTGTTAAGTACATTTATCCTTGCAGGCATGTTTGCAGCTGGTATATGATCTTGTCACTTTAGCTAGATCAGAGGAATACGTCTGGGGCAACATTCTGAAAGCTAGAATTCATCGTACTTACTTATCATACAAGTGTGGTATGGGGATCGAGATAAGATATAGTGGGTAACGTCCATGCAAATTCGCGCCGTTCTACAGGAACGTTGACGTTTTTATCTCCCCCTAACAGCAGGAAAACTGTCTCATGAAAGTGACAACCCGCACATGAGCGGTAAAGAGATCGCATACAAGGGCTCTAAGATAGTGTGAAGGAGAATAATAATCGACAAAAATTCACATCCTTCTTTGAGGGCCCATATTGGTACGTTGTGGTGGCGCAACTTGGCATATGGGATGCGCACCCAAATGCATAAATACAAAAATCGTCAGTTCGTACCTAGTAACCAATTGTAACGTCATATAGATTGGGTGGCAATGGGCCTCAAGGCGGACCAACATAGCTGCGTACAAGATTGCATAGCCCTAGGCAAAAACTGAAAACTTGGTACGTTTACCAAAATCCGGGCGATAATTTAAATTGCGCTTTATGATCATTAGGCGAGGCTATTTAGGGTGAACATGGCAATTCGATGTTTAATTATAAACCCAAAATACATGCAATATTTTATCGAAAAATCATCGATATCAACTCTCCGGCATTATCTAGTCTCCTGAACCTTAAGGGATAAGTTGGGTGTTGAACCCTTAATTGGCTAGGAGGTTTAGCAGCAATGTGTGTGGACAAACATGTGACCAGTTTGTCGATTCATCAACCAAAACCATAAGTATTTATATGGTCTGCATTTTGGTTGGATTCGTCCACATATATTCCCTTGAATTCGCTGTGAAAAGAGAGTCATGTCGTATCTTTGCAAGGAATGATATAGAAATCAATTTCCCAAACGAGTGGGCTTTGGCAAAGTGTGCTTGTAGGCATAAGATCTTTACTTCGGGTAAGGAGATGCATCGTAGCATCATTGTTCGATCGATCGAAGTGTCCCAAAAAGTTGTGCCAAAGCAAGTAAATTGCTCAATCACCAAGCTCCAAGCCGACCACATGTGGTGTATTCCCAGTTGGGAGACAACTTATTAGCCCCAAATCAAAGCTTCAGGCTCATTTTTGGAGGTGGTGCAAAGATATTTCACTCTATTTTCTTCAGTGGTTTCATTTATGATCATTGTTCTCTCGAATATCCTTAAAAACTCAACGACATGAAGAATTTAAGGTCCCTTAAATGGTAATTCAGTGCCATTCATACAACGAGGAGCATGCCAAATGCTCTTAATCAGGTTGGATAGACCTGAAGTCGTTGTTATAGATGTGATTTAGGTGTAAAGTTAGTGTGCGTAGTACGCATTCATCCAGACAACTAACTTTCCCACATTTCTACCTAATCCCGTGTTTAATTGAATCGATCACATGTATTAAGAAACATAATTCAATTAACTCATATTCAAGGACAATATCAATCAGCTTATCCACAAGTAAAACATAAACCAAACTTGAATCCAAGAACATGGAAAAATGTTCACAAAGTAAATGGTTTACTAAGGGGATTCGGCCAACAAGGCCAATGTTAAAATTATACTCTTCCAACGATCTTTGGTGGAGCAAAATTAGTCTCACATATTGACTACTAGAATGATACTCCTCAACAACATAGGTAGGGGCACGACCAAGTGAATAACCAATGGTCTATTCCATTGATACAGAAGTAGATTTTGTAGGGTTGAGGTTCGGGATTATTATCCCTTATTCTTGAAGTTTTAGGTCTTAGGTGCCAAGGATCATGCTTCGGGCATGATGCTACACCTTGGTAAGCCTTGATTCTACCATATGTTTGTGGTAGTAATCAAATCCGAGAATCTGGTAAACTTCCACTTTCTACACTTGTTGCTTCAGGAGCGAGTTAGAAACAAGGAAGGTCGAGAAAAGTATTCCCTAGTCAAAATTCGATCGGATTTTTAAACTTCAGAATCATACTCATTCATGGACGTAATCATGGTGTGCTTCAGGCAATGTCTTTCATGATTAGACAATCCATAGGAGCGAGCCAAAGAGCCATGGAATCCTCGTTCGGGAGGTATTTCCATTTGTAATGCTTCGTGCATAAGTCTTCGAATGAAGATCATGGCGGAGCCTTATTCAGCTATTCCATGCCATTATTGGCTATAATGGTTTCTCAGCTTCTTAATGTCAAGTGAAGATTCATGTCTTGTACGCACATATAAAATGGTTTCTATTAGAAACATCCAAATAAGGGAAATCAAACTTGTGATAGTTCGACAATCCATTGAATTGGAGGGAACAAGATTGTGATTAGTGCTATGGGAATGAATCATCCATAAGCATCAAAGTTAGAACATTCGGGTTCTAAGACATGGTTTTCATGGGTGTATTGTTTTATGAAACCTTCGGGTTTCAAAGGCACTAAATTTGAAATTACAGGTTCAATTTAGTTTATGAATGGTTAGTTCATAAAAGAGAGGTTCCTGCAAGAACACAGAATGCAATATGTTGATTTAAGTGTAGTGGATTTGAGGTTCTTCGAGAACTCAAGTGTGAGAGTTTCGTTACTATGAAAGTATGTCACGATTCAAAGAAGAGAAATAAATTATTGAATCATTAATGTCCAAAAGTGATCTTCAGGTCAATAATTTTGGATTCATAATCAAATTAATAGACTACAGGTCCCTTTTAATTAATTCAATAAATCTGGCCATATGGGATCGATTGTAAAAGCAAAAATAATATTAACATACAGGTTAAAATTATTTAGAATGCTAAAATAATAGCAAGTGGTCGAAAAATATAGCCCCACTTTGAGCTTAGCTGTGAGCACCCTATGGTTGGTGCAGCTAGAAGTAGAAACGGGTCACTTTGGCTTGGGCAGGCCACATGGGGCAGCCCAATCAGCGTGTGTAAGCTACAGGCTTGCAGTGGGAATGTGGGCTTTGTAAGGCTGCTGTGGGTAGCCCAACAACCTGCAAAACAAGCTTTGCATGCATGCTGCAGTCACGGGCTGGGAAAAAGAAAAGGGGAGCCCAGCGTGCTGCAATCAGCAGAGCGGGCCGAGGGGAAAAGGACAGGGCCCAGCATGCGCTGGCATTTTGGATCAGAGGTCGGGGGCATGAAACCCAGCACCGAAGAACCCAGTCAATTGGGCTTCGTTCACTACGTGGATGGCAAGCCCAAACAGAAGCTAATCCATTCAGCTGCAGGCTGATGGAAGATAGGCTGATTGTGATACGACCCAATTCTCAATTCCCTTAATCAACCAGCAAGTAGCACAAGAAAGCTATGGAAGAAGAGGGAAGGAGAGATGAAAGAGGAGAGCTCCAAACATTTTTGTATTTAATTTCTTTGTTGTAAATTCTGATCTGCCACATTTGAGGGAGCTGTGCTCCTTTTATACAGACTCTACTTCTTAAAATGCCAGCTTGCATATTTAACAATTCTTAACAATTCAATTAAAGCTTAAACCTCAATTACATTTTGGGTTCATAACAATATTCCCCCCTTGAAAATTAGCCTTGTCCTCAAGTCTTAAAAATGGAATTGTGGAAGTCCTCCCAATTAGTTGGTGTCCTCAAAGCAACAAGAAGTTGAATCTGCAGAAGGCATTCATTGGCAGATTCCTCCCACGCCTTCTTCGAGTCAAGCTCCTGAACTTCCTTAATCAACTTAAGGCATGAATTCCAATGGATAAGGAGAAGATTGATGAATTCTCTTTCTGAAAAACTAGCATCTTCACTATGCAAACAGAGAGACCTATAAGCTGCCAACCTTACAGATAGGTCCTTGTCCTGTAGCAATTTGATCAAAGCATAGTAAGCTGGCATTTTTGTGTCCTTTTTAATATCAGAAACCCATTGTCCCAATATCAGTGCAACTTCCCAGGGGGGTAATACGCATATTTGGATGATCAATATGAACCAATAATTCTAAGCATAGTAGTGAACCAACCAAAATAAATGACTGCAAAGGTGTAATACTGTCATTATTTTCAGCAACAAGATTAGCATTGTTTTGTAACAGAACTTCCATTGCATCTTGGTGACCATGACCAACATCCCAAATTAAGGGACTTCCAGCGTCTCTTGGTGAATTAACATAAGCACATTGGGGTTTAAACACCTCAGTCCTTTTGTCAACCAACTCTGCCAATTCTATGTTCCTATAAATCCTACATGTAAAAAGCAGAGATCCCCATATAACCACATCAGGTTGAGTAGGCATATCTCTGATCAACTTTTCAGCCACATTTAACAGCTTAGCACGGCTAAGAAGATCCACAATGCATCCATAATGTTCAATACGAGGATTAAGCTTATGATTTTCAAGATCCATGCTATGTATCCATTTATCAATGAATTGGAGCAACCATGACAAACCTCGAAGAAATGATTCAAAAATGCATTCCCTCTGTAACAAGCTATAAATGTGTCCTGCATAAAGCACACCTAAAATAGCTCCATGTAGTAATAATCAAACTGGTTGTGCTTGAGAAATCTGAGCCGTTGCTTTTATCTCATCTGTCTCCCTTAATTGTTTTTTGAAAGCATGTCAACAAAACTTTGACAGCAAGATTTTAACCATATTTTTTTGACCTCATCACCAGTATTGCATAGCAATCTTGTGCAGAGAACAACCTCGGCAAAAGAATCACTGTCAATTGGATGTGGAAGAACTGGAGATTGTCCTAATTGCAACATAGACACAACAATCAACAGTGTTTGCGAAAATGCTTTATTCACTTCAACTTTTGATGGTTAGACCCCTTCCAATCTCAGGGCAAGCTTGGTCATAAGGTATGCAACAACTGTCCCAAGGAAAAAGTCACTAGTGAGAAGCAGGGATCTCAAGTTCCCAGATGCCACGGATCCTTGAAAAAGGGTAGGAGGAGAGAAAGCAATTCCAGATGCAGCATGATGTGTGGCATAAGTTCCATCAGCAAGAATAGTAGGTCTTTTAAAAGACATGGTTATGGAGTTTACTTGTTGAACCTTTTGTGAAGAATCATTACTTTCTTCTTCTGAAACCAAGAGAAAAGGCAATTCACTTAGGCACCGTTTAATTGATGCAGTTCCACCCTTAAATTCAGGAAGTGACGTGCAACATGCTGCAAAAATCCAAAGGCCAGAAGAACAAACCCATGATACTCGGATTTGGTAGAAAGGGTCTAATAGCTTTGTTATTATAGATACCTTTACTCTAGGGTTGGTTTCTATTATTTCTCAGATAAAAACAATCATATCAACAGTAGAAGCAACATTGCTGCCTCCTAAGAACAAACCACTGTGCTCGCCACTTCTGGGAACTTTATTGCACAAGAATGAATATCCTGAATAAGCATCTGCCTGTATTCACCATTCTTTTATAGCTCTCCAGTATGAGTCTTGACAGCTTCCCTTTTCAAAATAAGAACAAGCTCATTGATGTTTGTGCAAGTAACCAAGCTAAGAACAATGTCTAGGGTCTTTCTCTTGATGTCAAGATTATGATTAGAAAGTGCCATCAGCACGTCCATGAACATATCAGCTACAACTTCTCTATGAGAAGACTTTAGCTCAGTCAGCTGATCAAGAACAATAAGCTTCACATTGTTGTCATTTTGAGAAAGAAGCAGCTGACAATAGGTATTAGCAGCAGCTCTCCCCTGCTTTCCACGATTTGTTTGACATAATTTTCGCAATAACAAAATGGTTTGTGGGATTGAATGGTTATTGGAAGGATCAGATGGGAAATATTTATTGGAAAACCTTTCCTTCATCAACTCAGTTATTGCCATATTGTTTTCTCTCCATCTCTTAGGCAATTCATCAAACAGATGCAATGCAAACAAATGCTTCTTCACAAATTTACCCATAAGATACCAATTTATCCAACCATATTTATCATTCTGAAATGCAATAGTCAAAAGAGAAGGAAATATAGCTTCCGAAGTTGTTATAATGAAACGCAAATAGAGAACTACCTCAGCTCCAGTTTTCGTAGCCACGGAGCAGAGGTCATCGTCGAAGCATGAATCATTCTCTTCGATTCCGACAGAGAAACTAGGGCTGCAATGGAATCGTTCGACTATGGCTTGACGGGCGAAGTTTCCAGTGCGCACAAGATGAGAGTAATGGCGGAATGGAATGGTCGTGGATTGTCGATGAAATTTGCAGTGGGTTGCCGTCTCCATTGTGAGGTTTTTGGTGACCAACCTCGATCGATTCAGCTTCCTCGGAACACATTGAGGCTAGATCAGAATCTCCCTCAACGTGGAGAGCCAAGTCACGGTGTAATTGAGCAAGGTCAATGTGGATTTCTATAAGTATAGGATTCATAGCCTTATGAATGACGGTGAGTGCAGAATCCATAGCTTCACGGATCGCAGCACGCATCGAAGCTTCAAATGAGTCGATTGTAGCGGAGATGCGTGTATCCATGGCAGGAAGACGGGTTGGGTGGGCGTGTACATGAGGGAAACCAGGATTTGAGAAGGATAATACCATTGATACGACCTAATTCTCAATTCCTTTAATCAACCTGCAAGTAGCACAAGAAAGCTATGGAAGAAGAGGGAAGGAGAGATGAAGGAGCAGAGCTCCAAATATTTTTGTATTTAATTTCTTTGTTGTAAATTCTGATCTGCAACATTTGAGGGAGCTGGGCTCATTTTATACAAACTCTACTTCTTAAAACACCAGCTAGCATATTTAACAATTCTTAACAATTCAATTAAAGCGTAAACCTCAATTACATTTTGAGTTCATAATAGAGTGCGAGGACAAGCCCAGCACAGGTTGGCTTGGTCTGGCTCTGGCTGGACTAGGAGAAAACCTACTGGTTGGTATGCTATTATATAGGTCTGCGGGCCTAACAACATGTAAAAACCCTAGGTTGTGGCTCAATCGAAGTTGTTCCCATAAATCTTAAGTTCTTTTTCAAAATTTATAGGGCTAGAAAAACCCTAATATGCTTCTAATATTTATATTCTTTGACTCACAAATTCCATATAGCATAATTGCGTACCTAATTGGCAGAAACAATAAAAAGCCTCTGAATTTGTAGAAGATCCTCCTTGAAAAGCCGGAATTGCATCTCCAATGCGTTGTATCACGTTTAACACAGAAAAATTAAATTGAATCAATAGCATGGAGATCAATTCAAAATAATAAATTAATCATAATAAGAATGATTAAAACGTAATATTCTCCTGATTGAATAATAAACTCTCTTTAGCGCAATGTCAAGAGCGTGCTGATAGCGTGTTATAGGCATAATTTACTAAACGATTATGGAAGCCATAGAGAGAAAGAAAAGTCGGCAACAGTAAAGAGAGGAGAGAGATGTGTAATTGTGAGGTGTGTTCTATTCCACCCTATTGTGCCTTTATTTATTGTAGTAGGGAAGGTTAATTCCTTACCCTTTAGGATTACAACTCTTAATAGGTAATCAACTCCTAATAGGAATATAAGATACATTCCCATATCTACTAGGATTTACACAATCACATTCCTAATCTAATAAGACTGCAACATATTTTTTATTTTAGAACAAAATCATGAATTTAAATAAGAATAAGGGTTAGTTAGGATTGCTTTGCTTTTTAAAAAGTTGTTTTTGTTATGCTTTAAGAATAATCAGCTGTAAAATAAAACAATTGAGTTTTTGGTAAACTGTATTCTCATAAGTGCTATGAATATGAAAAATAGTGTAAAAGTTTATGGTAAATTGTAATGTAAAAGTGATATAATTATATCTAATGACAAAAGGGCACTGATGATAGTGGTGGTGGCGGCGGCGTTGTAGGGATATGGTGGTGCTACCAATAGTGAAGTGTAGCGATTGAAGTGTAAAGGTAACAACTGTGGTAGGGGTGGCAACAACGACAGTAATGGTGGTTATGGTTATGGTGAAGGAAGTTGCTTTGGTGGCAACGATAGAAGTGGGGATGGTTATGGATGTGGTGGTGGTGGTGGTGACAGTGGTGATATCTGATGATTGTGCCAACAACAATGGTGGTTGTATTGACGGAGGTGGTCTAAGGTTAGTGTTTGTAGTTGTAGGTGGTGTGAGTCACTTTGTTCTCCAAGGGATAAATGTGTGTAGAAAGATAAATAAAATCATTTTTGCAAACTAATAAGGTATTAAAGGAATTTAAACTATTCACTAAAGGCTCAACTTCGTTTTTTATGAAACGAGCTTTTAAAATCAACTTACAAGCTGTTTTCAAAAGCTGTTGTTTGCAGACCATTTTTTTTTTAAAATAAGCAAGATATTTTGTTTTACCAAACACTTTTTAGTGCTTAACTTTAAAGTGAATCAACTTTTGGTTAATAAAAAAAAAAAAAAAAAAAGGGAAAAAAAACAACAGAGGCCTCAAAGTACGCTTGTTTTTTTTCTTTTTTTCTTTGGAGGTGTCTACCCAAGGTACTATTTTGCACAAAGATATTTTGGGCCATGTTTGGTGTCCTTTAATCCAAATTTGTTGTTTTTAAAACTATTAAGTACTAAGTAATTTAGTTACATCCATCTTAATAAGTATACATATGTTGTAAAAATCCAAGCATGACATGCATTCTTAACTTACTGAAAATTACACTTTCATCATTGCAACAAAGGCTTAAGAAGGGCAACTAGAATAACATGATATGTAAATGGTGAATTGCCCTAATAAATAGGGCATTGCTCTTCAACTCACTGCATTCCGAATTTAAACTCTTCCCCTTCATTACATAACAACTAGCCTTTTGTGTTTCATGCATAGAAGGAATCTATGAAAACTCAGGCCTTTCCATGAAATTTGATAGCAACAAAAAAGGCCTCAAATTTCATGAAACATTCTTTTGATAAAAAAAGCCCATCAATAAAGTTTAAACTTGGAACATTGTGTTTACTTTTCACATTTTTCTTATCAAGAAAACAATTCAACTATTAAATAGAGCGACCATAATCACAATCAGTATCAATATGCCCATCTTTTGCCCGGATAAATTCCGTTAGTGACTAATCTAACATCTAATTTAATAAATCTATCATTTGACACAAAAAATAAACTCTGTTAACTTTATGTAAAATAAAGAAATAAAAAACTTTAACAAGAGACAACAGTAATTTTAGGGTCCAACAATAACTTGATGCCATTTTTGGCTTGGTGAAGATGAGAGAATTTTCCAAGTCTAGGGGAGCGTGGAATTCCAAATGGTGGAATATATTGTTAGGATGCCACGTGTCGGTATCATATTAATAGTATATGTTGCTTTTTTTTTTTTTTTTTTTTTTTGGGACAAAGGTAATTTTCATTACCAAGAGAGCACAATTACAGATAAAGGGACCCAAATACACAGTAAAAACAAAACAAAAAGTGAATCCCCAACACTAAACAAAAGCCCAACCCGAGAGAAGGGCCCAAAACAGAAAACCCTACAAGACTAGCTTCCTTCGCCGCTGTCGAAGAACCGGCTGCCGATCCAGCATCCCAGGCCAAAGCTCTCACCAAACACAGCCCCAATGAAGAAGGCTCCATTGTTCTCCACCAAACGCCACACAAATCGAAACCGCAGCCACCAAAGAAAGAAGCCAGAGGAAAAGAACTTTCCCCCATCAACAAAGCCGAAAATGGCATAAAATTGGAGGGTAGTGGTGTGGACACCATACGAGTCGAAGCTCTGCACACCTTCCCAGAAAACCACAAAACGCGGGTGGAAGAGATGGTTGCAGAATCAGACATGTGTGAGAACGATGGAGGACTGAAGCAAATGGAAAAGTCAAAAAATGGCTGGATTAGAGTCATGGAGGTGGAAAAACTTGAGGGAGAAGAAGAAAAGGGAAAGTTGGAAGTGGGACTGTCGAATCAAGACTGATGGAAGGTTAGAGCGGAGGTCACAAGGGAGGATCACCAAAAAAGACGGTCAGAAAAACAAGGAGAAAGCCAATCTTTGTTAATAAAAACTAATACAAGAAATAGATTGTCAAAAAGCAATCCAAATACAAGCATAAGCCAGTAAATACAATAAAAAAGTCCAAAAAAAGCAAGCCTACAACAACCAAAGGCGTGGAATTCCATGCAGTGGAATATATTGTTAGGATGCCACGTGTCGGCATCATATTGATAGTATATGTTGTATTTTTCTTTTGGTCAACAAATAACATCCATTAATAAAAACTAATACAATAAATAGATTGTAAAAAAACAATCCAAATACAAGCATAAGCCAGTAAATACAATAAAAAAGTCCAAAAGGAGCAAGCCTCAACAACAAAAGCCCTAGATCTGTCACCACGACCAAGAGAAAAAACCCACGTACAAACTAGATGAACAGAAAATGGGGGTGAGCGAGTTACCCACACAAAATGCGCTTCAATAATCCTACCAAAGAGTACTAAATGCATTTCAACAACCACCCAACACCAAAGTGCGCCGCCAAGAGAGACACGCGAGAGGCTGAGTAGCGGAGGTCGACGGTGAAGGATTGACGATGGAGAGAAACATTAGGGGTAAAAAGGGGCATAAAACCTAGATTTGAGACAAGCTCAGGGAGGTTGAGACAAGGTTCAAGGAAGCTAGAAAATAAAGGAAAGAACGCAACGAGAGAAATGCAAGGAAATAAAGGGTAAGCAGAAGTGAAAATGGAAAGAAAATAAGGAAAGAAGATGAAGATATTGGTGAAGAAGAGAAGAAAGATGGAGCTCGGAAGCAAATCCCAGGAAAGATGGGGAAGGAAGGGAAAATACAACAGAGGGAGGGTGGGGTCGGAGAGAGGGGTGGAGACCAAAAACAAGGAAGGTTTTTTTTGGGAGAGGGTGGGGGCGAGAAAGGAGATCAGAGGGTGGGAAGGAAAGGGGAAGGGGGAGGAGGGCTAGAGTGGGGTGGACACTGGGCTGCAAGCCAGAGCAAGGGGCTTATGGCCAGAGGCTCTCAGATGTAGGGTAATAGTATATGTTGTATAAATAGGTAGCTTAGTGAGGAAAAGGAGTTGTTGATGTTGTAATAGTCTTCTGTAATACAATTTACTGTGCAATTGAGAAAGAAGTAAAGTTGGGTTCTAACATTAGAAGATGGAAGTTCATCTCAATTTCTCTCACCTTTAGGCTTTAGATGCACTTTAGGACTACCTGGTTTGAAATTTAGTGCAACTTTCGTTTCCCCATTTTCTTCAATTACTCATATCATCAAAAGAATATACTTTTTCTATACAAATTGTAGTCTAAACTACTCTAATTTATGAGCAGGAAGATTTGAACTCAGTTACAAAAAACTAAATTAAAATAAAATAAAAAAAAAAAAAACATGTTATGTGGCTTACTGGGTTTCAAACAACTTTTGGTTTAGCTTTCTGAAAGTTTCGATGCAACAAACAAATTATGTTTAGTTAAATAAAGATGCTTCTCAAGTGTGTAGGATTCATTTACTTTTACAACTCAGGCTGAATGTTTTAGTTTGGGCAAAGTATGAAACTCTACCACTTTGATGTAAGGTCTAAACCATATGTTCCATGACTTCGGCGAAAACTGAAATTTATTTTGCCTTAAGCAGCCCGTTCCCACGACAGTACGAATTTTGTTTCACAAAAATGGCTTGTGGTTTTTGTTTTGTGTCAAGGTAGAAGTTTTTGAATCCACTATGCTAAGTGGTCATGACTTTTCTTTGT